CCGGTCCAGGCGCCATCATCGTTTCAACCCCCCAGCACATTGCCCTCGGCGATGTGCGCAAGGGCATCGACATGTTCAAGAAGGTCAATGTCCCGGTGCGTTCATCTGTCAGCGCGTTCGCCCGGCGCATTTGGCCGTCCATTGACCAGTGCTTGGCGCATGGGCATCCGACCGTGCACACGCCAACCGGCATCCTGCCGTGCGCCTCGCGCCGCAGATTGTCGGCCTCGTCCAGAACATGTCCCTCCATCAGTGCACCCGCTGTGGCCATGTCGACCACATCTTTGGCTGCGATGGGGTCCGTGACCTCAGTGACGAGTATGGCATCCGCCTTTTGGCGGATCTTCCCATCAATGCGGCCATCTGCGATGGCGCAGACCATGGCAAGCGTACGTGGCACCCATGGCTGTCCTCCCGGTCCGATGGGCCCTCTCTCTTTCCCGCCCTTTCGGTGTCCCCTTCCCCCCTGCCCCTCTCCCCTTGGCGGCCCTTGGCGGCTGGGCCTCCGCCGATGTCACTCTCCCTCTCTGACCACGTCCTCTTCCTGATCCTGCCTTTCGATCGGCCGCAGCCATCGTCCTGTCGCAGGCTTCCTCGCCGGCTGCGATGGCCTTCCACTCGGTGGCTGACGCCGTTGCGGACCATCTCCGACGGATGGACGAGGCCGCTGCCGTGGACGCCTGAAATGGGCCGGCCTCCCTCCCGGCCCTTGGGGGTGCCCCCGCTCCTCGAGGGACTCTGTGCAATAGCAAATTGGACCAGGCAATTTCAGGCCTTTTTTATCAGTGTTGTGTGGGGTTGCTGTTGGGGTTTGTTTTTTGTTTTCATAGCCCGCCTATCGGGGACCGGCAAACGGGCCGGCCCCAGATCACCGGAACTTGGACCACCGAAGGGTGACCACGCTGACGGAGAATGCCTCCTCCGGACTGGCGGCCGGGCCGGGGCCGGCTGCCGAGGCGACGACACTGCACAGCAGGACCGCCTTTTTGGTGCTGTTGGCCAGCCGACCGGCGGCAATGAGCTTTTCCGCGGGCAAGGTCCCCCCCTGGGCCTGGTGGCCGACGATCAGGACGATGTATTCCGCATGGACCGACAGCGGGTCGGCCGTGTACGCGAGGAAATCCCCCCCAAAGCGAGTGGACCCGCTGGCTGTCAAGGTCAGCCCACACGTGAGGGCCAGATGGCGGAAGACCAGATATCGAGCATCCTCATGGTCAAGCAGCGGGAGTGGGGAGGCGTGGCTTTGCGATGTGCAAGGCTGGGAGGATGGCCAATCGGAGCAGGGGACCACGGGGGCGTTGGCGAACTCCCGCTCGAAGCGCACGTAGCAGGGCCAGTGGAATATATAGCCGGCAGCCTCTGGGAAGTCGGATTCCGTGATGGGTGTGGGGATGGGGATTCGCGCGAGGCCTGGACAACAGGGCGCACAAGGGACCGCACGCATTTGCCAGTTGGTGAAGGGGAGCCAGGGACACACGGGCACACGGGCCAGTAGAGAGAGAGAGAGAGAGAGAGAGAGAGAGAGAGAGAGATGGGTGGGTGGGTTAATGACAGCGGGCATATGCAGGCGAGGCCGAGCGGGCAGGAACCCGACGGAGTCGGGAATGGCCCGGAAGAGGAGCACGACAGGTACCCTGGGCAAAGAGGAAGCGGCCCTGCGTGCGGGACAGGACTCCCGGCGTGGAGAGTGACGAGCTTTGCGACGGGGCGATGGCCAGGGTGCCAGCCAGCTGGCTGACGATTCGGTGCTCCTGGCGAAGCCAGATAATGTCTGCTTGAGAGACGAGCCAATGGGTCAAAATATGCGGAGCACACAACCGCCGAAGGACGACGCTGGTTTGGGCGGGGGAGCGGG